TTCGGCGCCCAACAATCAATGGAGCGTATTAGTCACACTCGCGGGGAGGTTTGGACTCCGCGTGCTCGTGTTTTGTTATTTTTTTTCTTTTCTTTGGGTCCCGCGCTGCGGGAGCCTCGGGGGAGCACCACGGAGGTTCGGGCGTGAGTCGGGAGTTGGGGGGAGAAAACGTCACTCGGCATTTACACTTTGTTGCTCGTTTGCTATACGAGGGTGTCCATTACGCGGTGCGCCCGCAGGACTTCCTGCCGCGATTAATTAGCGGGTCTTTTGGGTCCTTAATCGATGTAGAAGATCGCAAGTTTCCAGCTCTTTGGTTCGTTTTTGCCCGTTGGCTCTCGGCGCTTTTCTGTTTGCGTTTCACGGTGCTGCTCTGTTGGATCTTGGTTGCGAGGCTAATGAAGCTCAGTGCGTGCAAACGGGGCATACGGTCTTTGTTTCCCGGCTTGTCGCCTTATGATGAGTGGTCGCTTGCGCATTGCGCTCTGCTGAATGGTTAGGACTGGCAGCCTGAGGCCCCTCGATGATTTGCAACTATTTATTCCGGATTGTCGCTTGCTTGTTCCAAGCGTTATTGGCTGCTCGGGACAGCACTGTACCTGGGATGCCTCCGATCCGCCGGCCTTGGATGGCTCAGAAAATTCTCAAGTCGACAATACAATCACTTCTGATCGTGGATCGCAAGCCCTGACAAGTTGTAACTCGTCGATCGTCTCCACTTTCAGCAGGTATTCGAGCACTGACGAATTGAAGCTGCTCGTACTGGTGAAGGCGCTTTAATGTTGGCCTCTGATAGGTGACGTGGTAAGACCTCCACAACGGCCTCGTTATGCGATGGCCCACTATCCGCGCAGCGTGCGCAGTACTTGTCTTCGGTGATCTACGGCACGTTTGATTATCACGGCGTAGCGACGTATAATCTTCCGCCGGAAATAGGAGTGGGAAAGGCGCTCGGAGGAAAAGACGTCCGAGCGTGGTCCGTCCGTTCCCTCTGTCCGTCCGTCCGGCCGGCGGTTCCAGGAAACAGGTTTCGGCGGATATTGCTCCCCCCCAGATGCCGACGACACTGTGCTGCAGTCTCCGACTTCCCGCAACTTTCTCCGCGCAACGTGTGCCGTGTGAGGCGGAAAACAGGGGCCACTAACCGGGAAAGCGGTCTTCTTCTGTTGAAGAAGGCGCTCTCCTTCCTTTTTATTGGCAGTTTCTTTGTTGGATGAAAGGCCGTCTGCGGAAAGAGGTGCGGAAATACGACCCGGCCGGAGGTCCTTGCGTCGTCTGCCAAACGCCATTCGTGGGCACTGGAGTCTGGAGGCCGCGCGATTTTGGCGTCTGCTACGTGAGAGGGGGCAGGTGCCCTCTACTGATTCTGGAGTTTGTTGCCGATGAATCATTCGTATATCTTCTTCGATGGTCAGTTGGAAAGTCGGTTGCTGCGTGTAATCGTTGGGAACTTTATGGAACAATCGATGCTCCAAATGCCATTTGTGGATACTGGATGCCGCGCAGACTTTGCAGTTTGGTTCCTTAGAAAGGTCCGACATCATCCAATGGTGTGGGGTTTTGATCTGCTTTTTCATGTAACTTGGGAACTTTCTGGAGCAGTCGCTTCTCTTGTCCTGCCAAAGGGCTGACCGAGGACCTTGTCGGCGAATGAACGGACACTGCTTGCAAATCAGTTAAGCGCACCTTGTTAGCAATCCGTCATCAGGTGGTTACAGAAGAACATGTTTGCGATCAAGCGATACTGCGCGAAGACTTGTCGGATCGCCAGAATGTTGTCCACAAACGTCGTTAATCTGTCGACCTTCCTGAACTAAAGTGCACGCGGTGTCTGTATTTTAAAGCGTGGGCATAGTCTGGTGGCCGGCCTGCACGCTGCTTTCAAATGAAAGCCTGTCTCCATCGTCGTTCGAACTGCGATGAGCTTGCGTTACCGCAACGCGGGACACCGCACCCCGTCGGCAGCTTTTCGGTTTGGGGTGAGTTCCCAACGAGAATGTTTCTGCAAAATAGGTATTGATTGATTGATCGCCAGGCATACCCGCACTAGTTCAGCAGCTAGTCGTTTAACGACCCGGCAGTTCCGCTCGCGAAAAGGAAACCAAAACCAAGAGTTATCCGAATCACCGCCACGACAACGCAGAATTCTCTGGTGTGGTCCCTTTCATCGGGGCAACTGCCGACGTCCGTTACGAAGGAAAGAGCTCGTGCGCGGGCCGTGGTAAGTGGAGAGGAGGTTTATGGCTTGGCAGCCGCCAATTTTCTCCGGTTCTAGCCTGTTCAATGTTGCGTCACGGCCCAGGGTTGCTCAAGACACTCGGGCGCCCACGTCACCTCGACGTATTGTTATTGTTCGGGACACGCTTGGAAGGATACGCGGATCGATCCGTCAAAAGCCGTCTCACCGCCCAGACACGACGGATAGGGGCTCGTGTTATCCTGGACAGACGTTTGTTTACAAAACAATGGCGGCCCTCGTGCGCGGCGTTTGAACGTTGCGCAGACGTTGCGCGCGCAGGCGCATGTGGTGCCTAGATGCGAGAGGAGCCGCCGCGTCCTTTCGACGTCCAGCCCACACTCACCGCCTGAGTCATCCGCCGCAGCCATGACCCTTTTGGAGAGTGAGCGTTCCTCTCCCGGCCGCGGTTAGCCTTGCTTTGCTCTTGACTCCGGACGAGTCATGACAACAATGAGTATTGTCCCCTTCTTTCTTTGTATATCTTTCTTTTTTTATTTATTTGGTGGCGAAACACAAAAGCGTAACTGAGGTAATAAAGGGCTCTGTGGGAAGAAACCAGTGATGGAAGTGCTGCGCCCAATCGCGCCATGAACGAAAGTCTGCTACATCTTGCGCCATAGTGCCATCATTTTTGCGAAGAATTGCGCCAGACCTGCGCAGAGATAGACTTAAGCGAGGAAAAATATGAAAATATTTTATTATTGGTCGATTCTAATATTCGGAGAAGTAGGTGGAAAGGAAAATGGTAGAGAAATGTATTTCACAGCGTCTCTACCCGCGTGTGGTTTGTTTCGTCTTGGGTTAGAGCACAGTCGGAAGACTCGAGCACATACAACCACGAACACGCATACTAAAAGGACAAGTCACGGGAGATTAGCTGAACTTGATTGGTTTATTGAAAAAAAAAAAAAAAAGAGCGCGTGCAAGAAGATAGACGAAGGGCACGATGCCGCACTTTGACGCAGTTTGCTCGATCACACTGGCCTGTAGCGTCGACTGCGCTTCGAATTAACGTGAAACCAAGTATAGAGATTGCTTGTCAACCGCGCTGGCAGCTGGATAAGCTGGCGGGTTGATCTCCGACACCGCGTCTAAAACATTGCAACATATTAGAATGACGGCTACTGTGCTAAGACGGAACCAGTGTCTTGCATTCCTGATGAGATCACTTGATTATCGTATCTGCCGCATGCCTCCCTGCCGCCTCTCATCAGCGCGCGCGCGTCGAGCTTCACCGCTTTGCACCGAAGTGCTAGGAGCAGCGGCTGACCAGGGGGAGCGCGATAGGCTCGGAAATTGTGTTTAGTACTATTCCTGGTCTACCTTCTTTGAACTTAATTGTAGGTTGATCCGCAATCTTTAAGAAACTGCGCCGAGAAAAAGAAAAAAAACGCGGGTCTATATTTGATTAACTATGGCAGTGAAGGTAGTCCCCGCGCAGCTGTCGATCGAAAGAGCGGCGAACTGTGACTTCACTTTGGTCCGAACGCCGCTAAAGAGCAGCGCCACTCTTAAAACACAGGTGTAGGTCTTCATATCTGTGGGTGTTTGTTTTTGCAGTTTTTGATTATTAGTCTTGAGTTTAGTAGGTTCCTAAAACTTGGGGGATGCATTTTTGGTGATAGGCGTGTTAGCGGATATGGTAGTTTTTGCAGGCATTTTACATAAATTGTATTCACAGGCTACATAAACTACCCCAGTGTAGAAGTGGAAGGGGAGAGAGGCTTTATCCAAACTGAAATAAGCGCCGATTCATTTTTCAAACATTTCTTAGTACCTACTCTAAATACTCTAAATGGAACCTACACTGACCACAGCCTTATTTCTAAAACGGAGGTTCTGTATTGCGTCTGCTTCTATTTATTCCTTCAAAAGGTAATAAATGATATGGTTTTGTATCAAAAGGAAACCCTTAATCATTATCAAAGATATACTTATTTAGCGATGCAATCAGTTTTCTTTTTTTTTTTTTTTTTTTTCAAGCGATGGCTAGCAGATGTTGGCATCTGCACCAAAAGCGTCAGTGGCTGTTTCGAACCAATATTGTGCATGCTACAGAACCTGCTACAAAATGTCAAATGCCGCTTCCATCACTGGGTTAAGTGCAGGGACTGATGTCTCCTATTCATTTGTTTATGTTTCACCTTCTCGTCTGACACACTTTATCTTGATTCTGCAGTCCTTGCCACATTAGCGTCCCCTTCTATAACAGATCCACAGTTAAAAGGATCATATCAAACTTACCTACGCCTTATATAATTTATATAGGATCTGATGTTTATTAGAGCTTGACTTCTTTTTTGTTCTTTATTTGTTCCCTTTTTACACCATAGCTGTTGTTAAGGGGTCTTATTCGTTATTTTTTTATATTTTTATTTTATGTGGTTGAGCTTTCTTGTGTTAGCCTGTCCTGTGCGCACAAGAATAAAAACAAACCACCCGTGATGCTATTACCTTATCATTGAAATCTATTTTAGCATTCGCTCCTGGATCGTGATATTCCGACAGAAAAAAAAATAGAATCAAGGAGCAGATATTAAGATAAATTTACCATCTGTAAATTACCAAGATTATTAGCATCTAGAAACAAATATTAATAAGAAAAAAACATAGTTTTCTATACTTTTTACCATATATTTTTCGATTACGGTAACTATACTTCTAAGGTACAGTTTGTGGTCCTACTTCTTGGTGGTAATATGACAAAATTTTTCTAATCCCCATATTTTATTTCCTCTTCTTTTTTCTTTTTTGAACACAGGCGGCTTCAAGGAGTTCCAGCGGCAGTACGCGCACGAGTGCACCAGTTCCGCGAGCCCCGAGGACTCCGGCTCGCCGCCGGAGCCCGTGGACAAGGACCTGACGGCGTGGCCCGTGACCCGGGTCCTCCCGTTCCTCTTCCTGGGCAACGAGCGGGACGCCCGGGACGCCGACCTCCTGGACCGCCTCGGCGTCGGCTACGTCCTCCACGTGACGACCACCCCGCCGCCAGGGCTCCAGGCCAGGCACGGTCCGGGACTTCGCTGCAAACGTCTTCCCGCCTCCGACAGTTGCCACCAGAACCTCAAGCAGTTCTTCGAGGAGGCGTTCGCCTTCCTAGGTCAGTACCACGCTCTTCATCCACGGCGGTCTTGCCGAACAATCGAGGCGTTCATTGTGCGTCCACAGGTGTCGGAGCCAAGGACAAAAGTCTAACTTTTGTTCAACGCGCGTCTAGCCCAGCTTTTAATCTTATTTCAATTCAACCCTTGGTTGACTTTACGAGGTCCGGGCATCAGTACTGCTTTTGCTCCGTGGTGGTCTTGCCGAGGAATCGAATCCTTTCTTTTGCATCTGTATCTACAAATGCCGGGGACCCACGTGCAATCAGGCAATGAGTTAACGACTCGCCCTCAAAGTGTGTCGTAGAACTTCCCGGGTCGTTTTCTATAAGCTATCAGCTGTTTTCAGGTTGTTCAGCACTATAGGCAGATCTATTCAATGACTCGTGCGTGTGCTTTTCGTACAAACAGTGGTTCAGATTCTGCGACTTTTGCTACTTAAAATAGAGCCTATGAAACGAGAATATATCCCTTTCGGACGTGGACTTTTAACTTTTTGCCGGTGTGTACAAGAAGGAAACATGTGTTGCCTTGACGAGGTCTAGAATCGGTTTACTGCTCCTGCTTCACGGCTGTCTTGCCGAAGAAGGCTTGTACAGTGCTCGATGAAAGGATATTTTCTATGAGCGAGTTTTGGAAGATGTGTTCGAGTGGCAGAGGTACGTTTGACGTCTAAAGGGAGAAAGGGATGGTCGAGGTAGTGGTAAAACTCCGGGGTTATTTAGAGCTAGATGTCTCCACAAGGATGAGAAAAAAAGTTAAGAGGTATATGTGATTCAATGTTCTTCTGCTGTCGCGTATGTGCGACAACGGACGGTCCCAAGAAGTGGCAGGTTCGCGCATCCATCTGTCGCGCTGTCATTGGAACTTCCAGTCGAGCCTTCCGTATACACAAATGATATATTTCCGGAACTATCCGCGGGCTTTCAGTAAAGACAATAGTTCCAACGAAAAAAGTTTGCGGAGCGGAGCTCTATTCGAGGCGATCCAACTCCCCCTGCTTGCAGCGCTACACGATCAAACCTTGGACGCGTGCGACCACCAATCGAAGAACCGGAGGTTCCCACGAAAAACCGCGCTCTCGCGTCCGTCCGTTTTGGTTCTTCGTCATCGTCCTGTTGTACGGTCGAAACCCGTGGAGCGGAAGCATGAGGCTCACCCCAACTCCCCCCCCCCCCCCCCTTCCACACGTCCCCTTGTTCCCGTCACTCTATGGCTTACACATTGGGTCCTTTTAACGCATACAAAAAAAATAATGGAAAGGGACCATAGTGGACCCGGTTACTCATAGCAGACGCCGCCGCGGCAACTGTTGACGCCGAAGTTTCGTCATCGCAAGGTGGTCCCCCCCCCCCCCCCCCAGTCCAAAACCCGACAGAAAGAGATGACTCAACAGCGGAGGGTTCCAACCGCGGCCCAATCTGCCCGTCGTCGAGACGGGCCTGTAGTGAGTGTCCCAAACGCGGCGGGGACAGCTGCCATGTGTGTGTGTGTGTGGTGCCATTGTCAACGGCGTTTCCCTGTTCTACACTACCTGCGGGTTGGGTCGGTTAGAGTAGAGGGGGGGCTTGCGCGTCCCGACGGCGTTTTCCCGCGCGTTGTGCGTCACGCGCGAGCACGTGCACGTGCTGATCGTGACGTCAGATCGAGAATGACGTCAGCTACGAGCCCGCGCGTGCATCTGCTCCGCGGACGTTTTTTTTTTTTCGGGAGTCTGCTGCGCTGCGTGAAGGACGGGGATGCGTGTACTCCCCTCTTCGAGTTTGGGGCGTTTTATTTTCGTGTTCATTATTTTATGTAGTTTCGGAGTGTTTTGGGAAAAGGAGCGCGTGACTCAAACTGGATCGGCAAAATCCACTGGTGGATTTTGAAACGATACGACACTCCTACTTCTATGCACCGTGAACGAACGAAAAATAAATTATCCCAAGCGATTCCAAATCCAGTAGAGGATTTCCTCGTGACTCAAGCCCTAAAGGGAGAGAGTTGTTTTTATCTCCGAGCGCCGCGTGCGGGAATATTTTGGTCCGCAGCGAGCACGCGCACGCGGGAAGCACCTGGCCGTTAGCTAAACAGCCATCCGCAGCCTCTGCAGTTTCATGTCACGATGTTAGCTCGAGGCAATATATAGAGCGTTTGTTGCGGTTGCGCGATTCAACATCTGAGTCATCCTAATCATTTATGTCACGAAGCTGCAAAGCCACGCTGCAAAACTATTTTCCATTCTTTTTTTTTTTTTTTTTTTTTTTTGCGAAACGGAAGGAACGCAACACGCATGAAACTTTCTGCTGCGTTATAGTGGAGATCCACGGATTTGTCCCCGAGGGCATCGTTATTCTCAGTTTCACTCCTCTTACGCTAATATCCCAAGTAGCCAGTCAAGCAGCATCAAAAACGCAAGTCACCATAGGCCTTCTCCGTACCTGATCGGCTCGTCGACGATAGAATACGTATACAGAAACGTGACAAACACCGTGATGGTGCGCATTTGACGCTCTACGATTAGTCCCATCAGGTAGTAGCAACATGTCAGTATATATATAGGCGATAATAAACAAGCGCCTCTATCTCACGGCCATGCGCACGAATTTGTTTTGCCGCATTCAGAGTCAGTAGGGCTCCGACGATGAGTCTTTCGTAATCCGTGTTTGCGTCTTGCCGCCAGCCGCGTGTGACCGTGAAATGGGTCGGATGCCGCGTCGCCCGGATGATCCAGGCCCCGTTCTACGGGCGTGACAAAACAAAACACCCCCGCGATGGCGTCGGCTTTCGTCCGCGACAAGAGCCAGTGCGGACTGGCTGAAACTCGTCGTCGCCGTATCAGCGCAACCCGCTGGAACGAACAACGAGCTACAGCAGCGTAAGCTGCGTTTGTGAGTTAGCGCGGCGTCGTGAGTGTTTCGAGGAATTCGAAGATAGAGGCGCGCTTGCAGAGACGCTACCGGTCCGTGCGAAGCGTGTACTCAGGTGCGAAGAGACAGCGACACGTTACTAGGCCTACCGCAAGTTCGTCTGCGTCTGCTTCATTTGCGCTTGCAAATCTCAATATTCCTCGTCTGGACAGGCTTCATCTAGGGTGGTCCGGGGCTGGGAGGCCTTTCTCGGCAATAGCTCTGAGTATTGGTAAGCCGTTGACAAAGTTCGCGGGCTTTATTCGCTTAGACCGTATCACGAAGCCAGAGGCGCATATCTCCTCCATATCTCAACCACTACAATGATTAAGCCTCGTTCCCAAACCTTTCGTTTGTTTTGTTTCGTGCCGTTCTCGCTTCACCGTCCACAATCTGCATTAATGGGACTCGTGTAGCGACATTTCCGTGGGCAGCTAAAGCGCCACTTCGCCCTACGCTGGGAAATTACAATTTCGTACTTACACTGTCCAAACTACCGTTCAATCTGCAACACGGGTACACACTGTCCAGCCAAGACTTACCTAGTGACAGCCCAGATCTGTCAGTTGTGCCTACGCTCAACCTAACACACGCTCCTGTGTAATCCGGAAAGGTACTTAAGCTTGTAGGCTTCTATGGGATCCCTTACTTTTACCGATTATTAATCGTTACAGCAAGCGGTACTGTTTGTTGTTGTTGTTTTTTTCCCGAGCCGTAACGTTGCGCTATCCTGACGGTATGCATGTTACAGGCATGCACGTTACATGTTCTAGCTGCCTGCAGCTGGCGAGCTGGAGGCAGCTAGAACACTTTAAGCGGCAGCAGTGGGTCGTACAAGGACGTTTTAAAAAGAAAACTGAATAAATAGAAAACAAAATTAAAAACAATCGTCGACAGGCCAAAAAAAAGATATATATATATAGGAACGATTCAAAATTGGACGCTTCCCAACAGATAAAAGCATGGTGAGTCACTCGTGCCCACAATACACGTAAGGTGCGAAGACCCTGAACTCCCGATAGGGCAGAAAACGACAAAGTAGAAGCTAGATAAGATTTTTTTTTTTTTTTATTCTTTATTTGTGCCCACGCGAGAAGCATTGTGCGGGCACGTGAACGCGGCAACCGACCAGAACTTTTCCGTGTGCTCTTGCGCGCGCGCGGCGGGTTTCGTCGTCTGGGCATCTCCCGCCGCTGTGGCGTCTGTGGGAAAAATACCGTCAGCCAACGTCGTCGCTCCGTTGTTTACTAGTCGTGGCGTGGTCGCGGTTTCCTCCATCGCGCGCCTTTGCGCTGGGCCTCGCCCAAGGACGGACGTTCTTCGTGTCGCCACGACGGTCGGGTCCGTCCGCCGCCTCAAGAGTTGACCGAAACGCTTGGTTCAAATCATATGGAGTGAAAAACAGTCGAGTTGAGCAGTGGTTGTTACACGCCCCCCCTCCCCAAGAATTTTCTACACTAACGCAAGGAATACCATAGTTTTGTTTAACCCGAGACTGGGGTATTTCGGAAAAGGGGACGAGAAGAAAAGAGGCCACAAGGAGGCGACGTCTCAAACACAGCTAAGGATTTTATTCCATCGTATGCACTTTTATACACACCACGTCCACACACCACCAACCAAGTCGACCAATGACAACATAACACCCGGAATACACTAAGCCAAACATAGGCCCAAAACATTACAAAAGAAAAATCTGTGGCCTATGTTTGGCTTAGTGTATTCCGGGTGTTATGTTGTCATTGGTCGACTTGGTTGGTGGTGTGTGGACGTGGTGTGTATAAAAGTGCATACGATGGAATAAAATCCTTAGCTGTGTTTGAGACGTCGCCTCCTTGTGGCCTCTTTTCTTCTCGTCCCCTTTTCCGAAATACCCCAGTCTCGGGTTAAACAAAACTATGGTTAACTTCCACCAGCTCGCCTGCACCCTTACAATTTTTTCAGTAAGGAATACACCCCCCAGAGCACCCTCCCGAAAAATTATTCTCTTCGCCCGATTGACGTTCATGGAAAAGTCCGTGGCTTTAATTGAGGACCTGCACAACAGTGTTCTGTGCATTGAATCAACATTAAGACGTGTTTGCTGTCGCTGAATTTGTAATTTCTGTTTGTGACGACGGTGATGATTTTAGGTATTCATTTGGATCAGACTGTGACGACTCTGAAGCTGGAAGTCCTGTAAGACGTTGGTTTCTTACTTTAGCAAGGGGAACCGCAACTCGAAAGTTTGAATGAATAATGGGAACGGTGTTCCTTGGGTTCCCTAGTGATCGGTAATTTCGACCAATTTTACACTCTTTTGGGTGTAATTCGGAGTCATTCTCAACACGCATCGTGTAGATTGCAGAGACCTGTCATATCGCTTTTAAAATTTCTCGTCAATGTCGGCATTTTTAATAGCATGCTGTCCATCCTTCAACCTGTCTGAGCTGCAGAAATCTTACAATATTATCATTCTCGCACTGCTTCAAAAACGCTAATGTTAACATGGAAAAGCTAAAAATTTCATGAGCACGCCCGTTGATTGCGATCTAAATCCCCCCCCCCCTTTTTTTTTTCTTTTTGGGGTTGTGAATTCTGGCTTTTTAAGCAATTCCTGCTGAAACAACAATCATGATAATTATACTGTTGTAAGAGATTTCTGCAGCTCAGCCAGGTTGAAGGGTGGATGGCGTGTAGAGTGTGAAAAAACCCGATATCGACGGGAAATTGTAAAAGTGATATGACAGGTCTCCCTGAAATCTACACGACGCTTATTCAGGATGATTCCGAATTGCACTCAAAAGTGTGTACGCATCGAATTGATCTAAATCACCGATCACTAGGGAACTGAAGGAACACCGTTCCCATGATTTCTCGAGTCGGACACCCCAAAGTCGGATACTTCTTGATAAAATATTGATGCGAGTCAGGGTAGACACATGAGTGCGCAAGTTTTCAGATTTTGGGAAATTTCGTCTTATTCGAGGTTAAGATGACCGGTTAAAAATTCGGTGTAGATGCTCCGCCTCCCGCACGAGCTTTCTGCCTTTTATAACGCTTCAGCGCACGGAAAGCACCTCGGAAGACAACTGGCGCATGGTGGAGGCAATGCTTCTACTACATTCTTATCCTGTCACCGCGACAATGGCCCGTTTCGATAGTCGTCTTTTGCGCGGCGCCATCTTTGTCTACTGGGCAGTTGAACGCGTTCTGAGCATGCGCAGTCGCTCTCTTCTGCTTCCATAGCCCAGTGACTCGTAATTCCTCCTGCGTATGATCAGCGCTGGAAAGGTATCTAGGAGCCACGTAAGGCAGCCATTTGCGACGCTACGGAACCTGAGACCGCGGGGTTGCCCCTCCCGTGCCGATGGCGTGGAAGACCGCAGCGCTGCGGTCGGAGCAGATTACCGCTTCCTTCGGCGCGAGGAGACACGCTGCCTGGTTCTTTTCCTGCCGCTGGTGATTCAGCGCCGAGGAGCGGGGCCGCACGACGAGCCTGGGCGCTCGAGCGCCGGCGCCCTTGACGCGCTGCGAGCCTGACGGCCAGGGAAAAAAAGAAAGAACTAAAGGGATACCTCTGTTTGAGCGTGACGAAGTCGCCGACGTCCTTCGTTAGCGCGCTTGTTGGCGACGCCCGACGCCATCTGGCGGCGCTGCGCGGCGGCAAATGCACTTATAGCTCGCGGCGGGAGATTTGAATTCGTTGTTCCTGAGCTTTTGCGTTTCCCTCCGTGCAGTCCTAGACGCATCTAGAGTTAGTTCGTCGGAAATGCATCACCTTGCCCGCGCATTCTTTTTCTTTTTATGTATTGGTGATTCTAATGTGGTTCTGTTCCTCTTTGCAGACGAGGCCCACGCCAACGGCAGCCGTGTGCTGGTCCACTGCCACGCGGGCATCTCCCGCTCACCAACCATAACGGTGGCCTACCTTATGCGCCACCTGCGACTGCCCCTGGTGGATGCGTACCGCTACCTCAAGGCCAAGCGACCCATCATCTCGCCCAACCTCAACTTCATGGGACAGCTCATGGAGCTCGAACAGAACCTGGCCCAGCAGCCCGAACAGGCGCCGTGCGCCCAGTGTTGCCGGGCTTCTGCCACGCTGCTCCAGCTGCTCGCCGCCGAACCGACCTGCGCCGGCGTCTGACGTCACTGGGAGACCAATGACGTGAGCCGTCCACGGGAAGGGGACCAATCAGCGACGTCGCCGCCATCAGCCTTCTAGTCCGCTGGGACGCCATCATTGCGTTCTGACAGTTCCACGTTGAACTTCGCGCCGCTGCGTCGTTTTTCTTCGCTTGTGATGTCCCTCGTGTCAGCAGCCACGAGTGTGCCAGCGTCGGGACACAGGTTGCCTGTTGTGCCATCGAGTGCGCCCAACAAGTGCGCCACAATTGCATTTCGGCTGCGAACGGACTCGTTCTTGCGTGGCAGCCGACCAAGGACAGCTCCGGCACCCAAATAAAGCCGACCTTTATACACTCCTAAGCCCTGCCATTGGCGTGTTATTTACTCGTGGAAGTGATTGTTTTTTTTTTTTTTTTTAGCGCGTCAACTTTTTTTGCGTGCTTCAAAAGTGCTCAATGTGCTAAGCCACCTCGGTTATTTCGAGGCAAAACGCTGGCCTATGGTTCCCAGGCGGCGGGTTTGAATCCTGGACGAGGTTCCCATTGTCGTAGCTAGGCGGGAGGCTTGCGGGGGGTCCCGAAATCCAGCCGACCCTATAAATGTATAAACAAGTGGATTTCGACACCCTCCCGCACCCAAAGTGATGAACATCCTAGGCACTTCAGCCCCTCCCGGAAAAAAACATTTCTGGTTACGCCCCTGGAGGTGCCGCAGCCTGACGGGGCTTATTATTGAAAGGAAGGTGCCATGTAACGAGATTTCGATTGCGCTTTATGATCAACACCCAAACTATTTTCGCGAGTCTAAACGTCATCGTTGTTGCACGTGAAGCAATACGTGTGAACGAGCACATTTCGCGAAACTTGAGTGTCGCGAAACTGTTGCGCGCCTAAAAGATGCATCGTGTGAACAGACCTTTAGACAGGCTTGCAGATCATCGTCGTCATTTGTCAACAGGTAAACAAATTTTCCTAAGTAGACGGAAATAGACGGATCTCACTAAGCGTTCGGCACATGCGTGACGCCGCCATAACTTAAGTTCACAGAGGCAGACGGCCGTGCATGCGAGGGCTCGTGCCGTTTCGTGCTTCACACGTGCACACATTGAGCAAGATTGTTGCACGTCCAGAAAGAAAAGAAAAAATTGGGTTGTGTGCATGTTTATACAGCGTAGAACTTGGTCTGCCTCAACGGGGCGACGAGTCTCCCAGCTGTAGATGAGCAATTTAGCCAGTGCAGTACGACCGCACGCCGGTACGATGCTCATCCACATCGAAACGGACAGGGGTGGAAATTGAACCCAGGATCCTGGGTTCTGCAGCGCGAGCTTTCGCTCCACGTGCTCCGAGCTGGTGTGCGCTAGCCAACTCGGCCACCGATCCCCCCGTCCAGAAAGAATAATAATTGGGTTGTGTGTGTGTTTATACAGCCTAGAACTTGGTCTGCCTCACAGGGGCGACGAGTCTCCCAGCTGTAGATGAGAAATTTAGCCAGTGCGGTACAGCCGCTAGCCTGGGGTCTTTAACGTGCATCACGCAGTAGTGATACACGACCGCACGCCGGTACGATGCTCATCCAGATCGAAACGGGCAGGGGTGGGGCTCGAACCCAGGATCCCTGGGTTCTGCAGCGCGAGCTTTCGCTCCACGTGCTCCGAGCTGGTGTGCGCTAGACCACTCGGCCACCGATCCCCCCCCCAGAAAGACTAAAGCCTGGTTCAGACAGTTGCGGAATGGAAGCTACATTGGCTCTGCGAACAAGGACCAATACCTGCGGAAATTTTTACTTAGAGACACTGAGTAACGTTTGCATCGCGTGCCCAAAGCCACCAGGAGCACGCGGATACCGATTTCTTGGTCGTAAGCGCACAATTTTTATTTTCTGGTCACTTCCAGTTTTGAAGCGGGGGTGCCCCGCTAACCCTAAGCCATAGGCGAGGGCCCTGACTACGGCGGCCACATCGCTCGTGATGGAGTCCGCAGCGGCCTGCTCAAGCGTTGATCGAAACCACCAGCCGCATACCGCCAACGCTGAAGAGGAAGAAAATGACATGCGCATGTTGGAAGACCCTCCAAGTACCACCGGCGACGACGAACACGACATGGCACCCTGGATTAAAGTCACCAGCCGGGCTATTCGCCGCAAGACGCGAGCCAGCCTTGCCACGCAAACTCTCAACCTATCGCCGCCAAAGCCGGCTCTTCGACCCAGCCGCCCGGTGCTCAAGCCAAAACCTCCACCCCTTCCTGCTGACGACTTTAAATTGGCGATCCGGCCTCGCAATGGTCTCGTGCTGAGCAAGGTGAGCCCGATAGTACTTTCAAACAGCATTATGCGAGAAGCTAAGCTACGTCCTCAAGAGGCAGACATCAAAATACGCGTCAATGAACAACAGAACATTCTAGTTGCAAGCACACCCTACCAATCAACAGCCTCGGCGCTGAGTAAGATCCAAAAACTACTTACGCAATTGCGTCATATGGTATCTCCCCTGACAACTCGTGTAGAGGGGTGATACACTCGAGAGAAAAGGAAGCCACCAACGAAGAACTATTGGAGGCCATCTCAGCCCCTGGATACGAACCACTCACGTGCCACCGATTCGGGGACTCAGACACCATCCTCATCACTTTCATAGGAAAGAAAGTCCCTTTCCTTATATACGTAGGCGGAGTGGAAACGAGGTGCTTCCTCTACAAACGCACCGTCGCCTACTGCTACGTCTGCCATCAAACTGGCCACCGCGCGGACGTCTGCCCTTACCCGCCAGATGTGCCGACGTGCAAGGACTGCGAAGCCCTACTTACCGCGGAGCCACACGAGTGCAAACCGAAATGCTCTCTGTGCAGCGGCGAACACCGCACAGCGAGCAAGGCCTGCCCTGGGCGCTTTTTGCCGCCCGTCAACCGGCGAAAAGAACAGACGTCGATCGGCAGGCGGAGACCGAGAACTCCTTCTGGCCAGCGAGGGGACCCCTCATCAAGATCTTCCGCTGCCCGGTCCCGATCTCGTAGCTACCCACGTTTGACCCAGGACAGGAGACGCCGCAGTTCGAGGTCCCGGTCCCGCTCCAAGACCCGAGGAAGGACACCGAGCACCCAGGAACGAATAGAAACTCAGCAATCTACGCAGGTGAGCTGGGCGCAGATGCTCTCTCGCAAAGCTCGTTCCCCTCCCCTACCCAATGATATGCTTAAACAAGTCCAAACGCAGAATTTACGTCTACAAGAGGAGAATACAACACTTAAAGCCGAACTTGCCGCACTGAGAGAAGAATTATGCGCCCTTCGTAATGAAATCAAACAAACGACACAATCACCATCCGCTCCCGAGAAACGCAAAAAGATAGAACGCCCCACTTCGAAACCGTTAGAACCCCCTTCCCAGTCCCCGACTGCACTAAGCCCACAACTCGCAGAAATCACTCAGCAACTCGCAACCCTTATGCAACTTATGCAACAAACTAACGTGCGCTTGGATAACCTCGAAGCTCAGAACCCATCTCTTCCCGGTCGTCTCTCACGGCGTGACTTGAAGCCTTACAGCCGACCCACTCCTCATCAAGAGGAGCTCACCTGCCACGATGGCAGCAAAACGGAATAATAATCAAGCTCTTCATCACAAAACCACCATATGGCAGTGGAATTGCCGCGGATTCAAAAACAAGTTCGGTTCACTCTCTCAATTCATTGCAGCATCTACCTCTCCTCCGGATGTCATATCACTCCAGGAGACCAATTCTCCCGCTCGTCTTCCCGGCTACGTGACGTACGGAGAAGACACCGGAAAAAACCTTCATACTCTGGTTAGCAAACGAATTACTGCTATTCAACACGCTCTTCAACAAACAGAACAGCTGGGAATCCTGCTCGAGCTCATCCCGCGTGCCAAGAAACACGTCCACAGTCTTTTCATCTTAAATATGTATTGCAGACCCAAATCTAAAGATCCTAGTGTCCAAAACGTACTCCTGCAGGCTATCCACAAAGCGGGAGGTCAGCCTCTCCTCATAATGGGAGATTTCAACGCGGCCCACCAGCTCTGGGGCTATGCGTACTCCAATAAACGCGGTAATGCCTTGCATGCACTCATCGCAAACAGTGACCTTACCCTCCTAACTAACCCTGCCTCCCACACCCGCATGGGCAATAGCGTCACCAATGATACCTCGCCAGACTTAACTATCACTAGCCACATCCCTCACGCGGACTGGGAGCACCTCGGAGAATATTTGGGGAGCGACCATGCCATTCTAGCCACTACTATATACGGCGCAGAGTACAAAGTCAAAGTCGGCAAGGCACGCCTGACCGACTGGACCAAACTCCGAGATGAACGAGAAAAGAGACTGAAAACGACAGATCACCCCCCGCTTACTCTGCAAGAGTGGGTATCTCGTCTCGTCCAAGATGTCCAAACCCACACTAAAAATATTGAAACGTCCACCACCACTCCATGTGTGGACACTAGGCTTCTCCACCTATGGGAGGCTCGCCGCAGTCTAATTAAACGATGGAAGAAACAGAAGCTCAACCGCAAGCTAAAAAAACGTATTGCGAGGCTCACAGAAGACGCGGCACAGTACGCCTCCGAATTGTGCAAGGAAAACTGGCTTTCCCTCTGTGACGGAATGTGCGACACCCTTAGTACCTACAAAACCTGGAAACTGCTCCGTTATCTTATTGATCCGGCCAAGAGCAAGACGACGTCCCAACACACTATGGACAAAGTCATCCATCAACACGTAGGAGACACACGCCATCTCCTCGCGACTCTCAAGACCCGTTACCTCCCTACTCATCCCACGGAACCCCTTCCTCCATACTCGGGAAGCCCAAATCCGCTCCTAGACGAGGACATCCATCTGCATGAAGTTACGGATGCTCTTGCCAAGATTCGCCGCAACACAGCGCCCGGATTAGACAAAGTTACTAACAAGGCCTTGGCCAACCTGGACAACCCTTCCCTTCTAGAACTGACTGATCATCTAAATGACATCTGGCAGACGGGAATCCTCCCCGAGGATTGGAAAACTGCGGAAGTTAAACTGATACCTAAGCCGAACAAACCACCCAGCACTGACAACCTTCGACCCATTTCCCTTACGTCGTGTGCAGGGAAACTGTTGGAACATATCGTCTTAAACAGACTGCAATCATATCTCGAAGATCACGATAAGCTCCCAGTGACAATGTTTGACTTCCGCTCGCATCTGTCGACGCAAGACGTTCTACTCCAGCTTAAGGAAGAGGTAATGCTGCCTGCTACGCGCAACTCACCCACGGCCATTCTTGCTCTAGACCTCAAGGGGGCATTTGACAATGTTAAACACACTGCCATCCTCTCACAACTTAATACCC